CACACCATCAGGCCATATGCCAAAGAACGAACACTACAATTTTCACTCTCGGCACGATTGAGAACCCATTTCGACATGGCCCCCACATCGATTCGAGAGTGGGGGGCTTAATGATATGCCTATTTGGGCCAACCCAATGGGCCTACAATTTATTTACCTACTGGGCCACGAGTCCAATATCGAAGACCATTATCACCGAGGCCCAATCACCTTCAAGTAAGGTTCGGGCCCGACAATCTCAACTAAGATATAAATAAAGGTTTGAACTCATTCCTCAAGGTACGTCCTATTAACTGAGTAATACTACAATACGTATTCTCTGGACTATTTCTATGATCAGCACGTCTGACTTGAGCGTCGGAGGGGTTTCCGCCGGATCAATCCCCGGCGTAGTTCACGTGTTCTATGATCGCAGGTACCTCAGGATCATCAAGTTGTCAAGCTACTGATCTGCTTTGCTCTCCCAGTTCGTTTTCTACACTACCCTAGGTGAGCTATATTTTAGCATATATATATATATATATATATATATATATATATATATATATATATATATATTCGGTTCTGAATCGATTCAAATAAGACCGGTAACCCAACCTAGAACCTTTTAACTTACAAATTGAGTACTTGGCATCAAATTAACTTCCGAATCAACTTAGCACTAATATTTTCTTTCTAATTCAAATTATTCATTACTAACATTTTATAATCTCTCTTTATTTATGACATCATATACTATTTTTCACGTCAATTCATGCAATAATGAAATTGACATGACTAGGATAAGTAGATGTGTTGTAATAATCCATCCACTTTTTTTATTGCAAAAACCAAGAGAAAGAGTGTTGTGTATTTAGGAAGCAAAGCAAAGAAAAACCCATGTTATTTTCATGTGGGCATTGTCTTCTTCCCCATGTGCATTTAAGTCTTTTCTCTTACATATGATAGTGGGTTTTCCCAATTATCCATTTTGTTATTTTCAAAAATAAATAAATAAATAAAATTTATTCATTTTATTCTCCTACCATTAATCCCAAGTACTTGTGTCTTGGGCCATTTTGCTATGTGTGTTTTTTTGTTGTAAAAAGGTGTGCATTTTAGACCATGTATTGTTTGTCTAAAGCATTTCTTTTCATACTTATTTATTTATTTGGCTGGATTTTGACATGAAAAAATTAATTAATTTTGCATTGGCGTGTATTTTCATTTCTAAACATGTGGAAATATTTCATGTTGAATTATATCTTTTTCGGTCGCAATAACGAAATAATTACGAAGGCTTGTTTTTCGTTATTTAATATTGCATGTTTCGGTCTATACTTTATATATTTGGACTTGTAGCGAAATGAAACACTCGATACATTTTTATAGGCCGAGTTTCACACGACTACATAATTGAGGTGGATGCATGATATTCTCTTGAATTCTGTTTTTCGTGTTCATGGTAAGTTCGGATTCGATAGAAGTCTAAACACTTTTTACTTTTCAAGAAGTGTTATATAAATTTATTGAGAAATTATGCATTGAAGATTTGGAGTTGCTTAATCCAATTCTACAATTAGGCCAATAAATCTGCAATGATTTTATTTTTTAGCTAATCCCATACGACAATCTAACGAAACGTGCACAAAAATTAGCCAAATGTTATTTAAAAAAAAAAAAAAAAAAAAAGCAAATGACACATGAAAATATGGGCTTGTAGTTCATCGATTTCGTGCAAGCAACACAGTGATGGGTAAATTGATATGAACCAAAAGCAAAAAATACATTATAAAGGCACATATGAAAAATAATTTGGTAAACTTATTAATCAATAATAACTAATAGATGATGTCCTTAAAAATAAATACATTATGGGCTAAAGTTTAAATAAGTCTCTTTAAATAGGCAAGTGACGCATTCAACCTCGTGAGGATCTTGATCATACTATATACCGTATACAATAAATATTTCAACTAATAAAAATCGACAATGAACTTCGATACGCCTAGGATGAGTACGTCATTGTTCACATGATGGGCCCACACTGTTTCCATGAAATTTCAACTGATAAAAATACGAGGACGTTTTAAAAAAAAAATGAAAGAGCGAGTATTTTTTTTTTCGAAAAAAATCGTGTCTTTATTGCTAATTTAATTACATTTGATGGACCTATATAGCAAATTCATAATAGTCCAAAACCAATCTTAGTTACAATTGGGCCGGGCTTGTTGGGCTTGTGGGCTCTTCTTTATTTGTCCATTAGCTATGTAAAATTAATTTTTAATTTTTCTCAACAAGAACTTCTAAATTGGAATTTAATTAGAGGGTTAAATAGTTATTTATTACTTTGGAAGAATATCACACAGATAATCATCATTAATCATCAAGAACATGAATTTGTTGGTTTTGGAGGATGATATAACTCAAAGTGAGATTCAAAGTGAGGTAAAAAATCTCATTTCGGTACGGAAAAAAAATCATTTTTTTTGCGCTAAACTTCTCTTTTTCTGTTTTATGTGCTAGATTTTATAATAAATATTAATTTTGTTACTAATTTGACCTAGGAGTGTAAACGAGCCGAGCTCGCCTCTTTTGGCTGGCTCGAGCTCGAGCTCGAGTTTATTTTGTCGAGCTCGAGCTCGTCGAGCTCCTCTATTTTTGGCTCGAGCTCGAGCTCGTGTCAATTTTGTCGAGCTCGAGCTCGAGCCCATTGTCTTCTTTTTTTTTTTTTTTTTTAAATATTTTTTTAATTATTATTTTATTATTAAAAATTATTTAAAAAATAAAAAATAAAAACTAAATTGTAATTATATATATTTTTAATATTTGTATTTATTTCTATAATATTTTAAATTATCATACATTATTTAAATAAAAATAAAATATAAAAAATAAAAAAATAATAAAATAATAATAATAAATCCGGCTCGCGAGCCCATGAACAACTGAAAACCGGCTCGAAAATCTCGAGTTCGAGTTCGAGCTTTTTACGAGCCGGCTCTTCGAGCTCACGAGTCGGCTCGGCTCGTTTACTCCCCTAATTTGACCAGATCATCTCGAGACGTTTAAAGACGTCGATTATAGTGAATATTTTCCATGAGACAAAATATTTTGTAGTATAAATGGATTTAAAGAGTTTCTTCAGATGTGTTTGAGATCGGAAATTGTAGATAATAAATATAGTTGTAGACAGTTAATGATAAATATTGGATAAGAATTAATTTATATATTAAAATGTCTATAGCTACTCAAATACATTCTAAAATAGAGATAAAAATAAGAATTAAAAAAGTCCTATATTTACTAAAAGCCGTCATGTATTCATTATTTCCCGATTAAAAAAAAAGTTTATTAATTTAAAGATTGAAGACTTAAGTCATACGTTGAGGTGAAACTCCAACTCAATAATGAATAATGATGCTAATTGCTATGTTACTTATTTGCTAAGAAAACCTAGATTCCACTTGACATTATTGGGATAAATGTAGGCCAATTATTCTGTTATTCACCATGGATGCAACTACAACTATTTGTTCGTTCTAGTTCAAGTATTGAATTATATATGAGATTCTAGTACGGTATAATTTATGTGAATAATTTTAAAATATTTAAATCATTTTTGAAGATTGTATTATTATTGCACATTAATATTATTATGTATTATATTTAATAGATGAAAAACCAATGAAATTTATGGATTTCATCGATTTCGACACGAGAATTTCTAATTTTCGAAACTAGTTTTTAAATTTATTATTATTTCAAAAATATTTGAAATGTGATAGGAATTAGTTTTCACTTAAAAAAACATATTCGAAGTTATTAATTCCATAACCATCCCGATCCGTTCAATTTTATTTCTACCCTTAGAAATTAACCAATTAAAAATCGGAGATCGGTGGATTTGCAATGAAAAAATAGGCTAGAAAATAAGAGCTGAATAATTGGAGATTAAAAGAAAATAAAAAAAATTATTATTTAAAAAAAATACAAAAATACTATTAGAATTTCTTAGTTTGCCTTAACATTTATTACTTTTATATACAAGATAAGATATAACAAAACACAAACCAACTTCACTTTGTAAAGTACGATATAAACAAGACCACATTATAAAGTAGATATTAAATTATGAATTATTGTTAAAATATTTATTAATGTAAATGGAATAGATGAACTCCTCCACCACATATGTATTTATTACTTATAATTATTTGAATAAAGCGCATAATGAACTGCCACGCTTTGACAAGCCGAAAGCAAAAAATACAAACGACTCTTAATTAGTGAAACAAATAAACCATCATATTAAAATTTCCCTTTTATTCTTTTATTTTTATTTACTAATTATGTCAAATTAGTAAAACTTTCTCCTGTTTGAGTAATTACAGTCAACCATCAACTATGAATTTTCTTATACGTCCACCCTTGCAGTGTCAATTTAGAGAATCTTCTACATTGTGTGGAACATTCTCCAGTTTTCTTACACGTTAGCCCGTTTTGAGCTCCACATTTTGAAACAAGATGATCATAAGATGTGTGTTTTGGCTTGTAAATATCAGTGTGGTGCATCAGAAACTGCACAAAACGAGTACAAATTAGAGAACATTCTACATAATCTAGAAAATTATATTGAATTTGATATCATAAGGATGAACATGTAAGAAGACTCATAGTTAAGAGAGGTAATTGTAATTTCCCAAACATAAATGATTTTTTCGTAATTTGACCGTGGTGACCGTAATTTATCCATATATATATATATATATATATTAAATATAGTTACAAAAGGAAAAGAAAAAAAGGAGGGGGGGGGGGGGGGGGGGGGGGGGGGGGGG